TTGATTTTTCTCTGCTAAACAGATAATTAACATACGAGAGGAGGTATTTGGGACAGGCGCTTGTTTCCAGTTCGCAAAATAATTGAACAACACATCACAGGTGAATGTGAAATCCGTCAAGGCTCTGACTGAAGATTTGTAGACTCATGATGAACCCCAAAAGTGAGCATTTTCATTGGTGAAGCGAATAAAGTGCTTTGAACGGCTAAAGGAAGACATACGCTGATTCCTAAAAAGTCTGTGTTAGCGGTCTCGTTCGGAATCTCTGAAACAAGAAAATATTGTGTTAATATACCCAGATATAGAGTATGAGCCCAACAATTCTCTAGCTTTTCAGCACTTGCTGGCTATGAGATACCAATCTTCAAGGTTTGAGGAAATGAAAGTTTTCAGTTGTTTCTTTTCGATAACGTTGGGAGACTACTTTGGTCTGGTTAGGAATCTCTGTAACCGAACACACGAAACATCTTTGCAACTGGTTTAACAATATTGATTTGTCCCTTAGATTGATGATTGATCACTAGTGCTCATTCATAAGTTGTACATGCTAACCTACTCCAGTTTTGGCAACCCAACAAAGCACAAGTATACAAACTTGTCACCAACGTGCATTTCAGTCAGACATGAACTGGTTAATAGAACAGACCGCGGAATCGTTTATCAGGTTGAACAAACAAGCAAGACCATTGATACCCAGATCTGATCTCACTGGTGAATTATCACTGTTTCAGTAGCAAAACCTTAGTGTCAGGCAGATTTTTATGTAACCTGTGACCGTGTCTGGTTAGTCATATGTAACTAGTGTTTGAGGTGCAATCGAGGAAACACACACGCGTTGACATTAATGCTCGGTCGTTGCAGTGAGAGGGCATTCATCAGATTGCAGTCACCGGGGCAAGCGACGACACACAGGTTCAGGCTTGTTGCATAACTCCGAGACACAAGAATGCCAGGATTCACCGGACAAATCAATATCAATCCAATGAGATCATCACTGCGAATGCGAGGAATGTGTGGGCAACAAATTCTACCAGTTTGTCATTCTGGACGTCCATCAACCCCTCCCTTGGTCTTTTGTACTTTTATTAGTTTCCTTATTTATGGGTTTTCATTTGTTTGCACCCATCCTGTCCTGTTCGGTCAACCGATTTCCCGGGATTTCGCTGATATGGTCCAACTTTCCATCTCTCCCCACGATGACCTTCTGCAATCCAAGCCTAGTGTTTCGCTTAATGGAATGAAGTGTTACCAATCGAAATCAATGATAAAGTTGATTCTGTTCACTCTTTTCTTCCGATTGACTTTCACCGTGTTCTCCGGGTCAGAGTTTTTTTTTTATCAACACAAAGTTGAATTCACCGATATCGGATTTCTAATTTCTGTTAAGCATTTTTCTTGTGATGTAGTGAATGCAGAGTTTGATGTTTTTTCGTCTACTCTCAATCGCTAAACAACGGGGTTTGCCCGGACTGGAATTCCATTTCGTTTGACGAACGGCTTGTGCCTTTCATGCATTCACATTGCGAAAAAAACGCTCTACACGCCCCGTTCTTCTTCTCGTTCTGGTTTGAAATTGTTCTGTGGTTGTGCGGTGCCGTTATCGTATCATTTCCCTACGGTTGCACATCAACTGGATGACAAGCAACACCCGACGAAGTAAGACGTTCGTGCCAGAAACGAGCTACACAAACGCGGATGATAAAATCACATTCATTTTCTCGCTGACGTGATACGCTAGTGGTGATGCTGGTCAGCCGTGTTAAACACACACACACGGAGTGTAAAAGTATAATACGCACACAAGTCGGGCAGTAATCGATCACGGTTGTTATCAAGTATGCGACCGATAAATCTCTTGTGTTCCGAGTGTACTTTTCGGCCGAAAATTTCAATTCCTTCATTTGCTCGCGCTGAGTGCATCCGTGTGACACATCACAGATTGCACACGCACGCACACACACGCACACGCGCACGCTGCGCGAAAGAATGCACACACGAGCTTGACAAGTTCTGCCTCACTGAATGCGTATTACCTCAGGCATGGTAGATGCAATGCACTGCAAACGCACGCACGGCTGGATGGGCTTTTTCACCTTCGTTCCGAGTAATCGGATTTATTCGGCTCGGGACCAGTTGAACTCGATCGGCGATTTCCATCGCGCTCTATCTCTCTGTAGCGCGCGGACACGCACGCACACACCCGAACTTTGTCCAACGCGCAAAGGAAGTGAGAAAAAATTGGTCTGTACACTCGATCTCCCCGGATCATCATCTTTCTGATTCATTTCTCCCTCTGGATCGTTTCGTTGGCGTAAGAAACAGCACCTGCGAGCGACAATTACTTCCAGTCGATCTGACTGTGATCAAATCTGTAATCAGCTCCAGAACACACAGAGCGATAATTATTCTACCCAAATAGATACAGGAACGGAATCACTGATGAGTTCGAAAACCAGCGAACTTCATGGGTGAATTTATCAACTGACAGTTGTAGGGATGACGATATCGTAGTGGTCCGCCGAGTAATATGGTACGTACGACTAGTGTGAGGTGACACTCAATGGTGTTTACCGGTGATACTCACCGATCCTCCGTTTCGCAAAAAGCGGCGTGATTTCCTGTGGCATTGGCATAACAATGATAGTGAACCGGACCTTAAGCTCGTTGCCATCTCCTGCA